TGATTATTCCTAATTAATTATCCAGAGCTTTATTAGTATATCCTCACTAATTGATACAAGAACACCTTTGGTTATTGAAACTGTGATGAAATTGATTTTACCTTAATGTCCTTTAAGGGCTCCAAAAAGCTTCTTAGCTTTAATATCCCAAAAAATAAAATGATTTTATTATGTGCCTATTGCTAACAACTATTCGAAAGGTAAATAATTTATGTAAGCTAAAAAGTCAATTATTAAGATTTTAGGAAACAAAGATGTTGATAACAAACTTAAAAAATTGAATCCTCATCATCAGAAAACAAAAAAGAATACCTACACGATACTCTCAAAGTTTTAAGCAAAACTTCCAATCCATAATTTTTTTCATCTAGTCATAAAGTTTGTCCAATATAAATATTTTTGTTTACCCAAAAGAATGAGTATTATTTCTTCATTCAGGCTTAATTCAAAGTATAGATGAGGTCTACGACTGTAAAAAAGTTCAAATTTAATCTTTAAAATTTAATTCTCGGTGTTAATTATTTTAAATGATTATGTTTGTCTATCTAACTAGGCAAATAACTTTTATACATTAAATTAACCAGGTTTTGCAAAAAATTAGGCTTCACTACCTATTTGACTATCATTATTAATCTTATCTTACATCCACTTAGATACTAATTATTTATTATTTGTATTTGAAAACAATTTTATCATTTAAACTGATTTAAGCCACAACCCCTCCTCAGCACAATTATTAATTGTTATCTTTAAATCATATGTGCTTATGATATTAAAAAAATTATTTGAAAATTAAATTAATTAAAAATATGACTCTGTTTAAACTCCAATATAGGCACTGACAGCTATTTCATTTTCACTTGGTGAAAATAAAGGATCATAAACTTTTTTTTCTTCATATTTCAGATGATTTTGGATTTCCTAATTGTTATATATATCAAATATTCTAATGGAAATATTATTAGGTGTAGTATAAGCAATTACCCAACTTGTTGTCGAGTAGTAACAAACTTTTTCATGGCTGAAAAGAATTTCTTTTTTTGTTTCTTTATATAGTTTATTTGTGTTTATTATAATAACCCCTATGAAAATAAGAAATTTGGCATCACCATACAGTCTTGTGAGTTAATTTTTCTAGTTGATCCTATAGACTTAATTTATAAGCAATTAAATATTTAAAGTCAATATATAATATTTGTAATTAAATAGCTGCCATAGATTATTTTGAGTAGATTTCTGGTTAATTTATTATAGCAAAATGTTTAAAAATTTATTATTAAAGCAAATCAAATTAATTTGACTTATTGTCATATTAAATAAATAGTTTTTCAAAATTATGAGATAAAATAAAATTAGTCCAATACCTATCCCAAGGTATTAAATAATTATTTTTAAGTGTGAATGCATCCAGAATCATAAATTATTTAACTTCTTTCTCATCATTTAACAAAAAGACAATTTATTGCTATCTTTTGAAAATAGTATTTTATTAGATTAAAGATCAAACTATCTTAACCCCTTTGAAAATCATTATATATTTCTATTAAATTTAGTTATTTTTCATAAATTACTACAGCCAATTTACCCTTAGAAGATATTTAAGTTTCAACACATTTCTATACCTACTCTACATGTTAACTTCTTTAATATTAAACACAAATTTTTCTGAACTAAAAATTAATTCACTGCCATTTTTGGTGAATCTTACTTTTATTTTATTGAAATTAAATCTCATCTCAATTTAATTGTTATTATGCTTTAAACTTCAAAAATATTGCTTAATTTTCAGATAAAATGCCAAAATATCTCCCATTATCACTAAATACTAAACTTGATTCAAAATTCCTTTTACTGTAAGTTGAGACTAACAATATTCAAAACTTTATGATGATTATAATGATTTGACAATGTCTATAAATTCTATTATATACATTTTCAAAAAAATATTCCTTTCTTCAAGCAACACAACTGTTGCTTTTGTGGGATTTAATAAAAAAATTTAAATTCGACTACTAAGAATTTGATAAATGCATTCTTCCATGCTACTGTTGATATGTAAAGTGAAAATTTAGAAATTCAGGGCTTTGACTGTTGTAAACTATTTTTTTTATCCTAAGTTATCCTCACTGTTAAGAATATAATATTTTTTTTGCTTGAATTTAACTAGTAATGTATTAAGGATTCTTAAAATCCCATCTGAAAATAGTGCAATCATGACTTTGTGATAACCGCATTGAAGAGTCTGATGAAAATGTAATTGAATTCACATTATCTGTATGACCTTCTAAATCAGTTGATGAATAGATATTGGTTTGCATCCCATAATTTAATGTTCTTACCATTTTCTTCTATAGATACAATGAATGAACCATCGGTTAAATTACACTTCCAAGACTTCATTTTCATGACCCTTTAACAATGGCTTCTCTTTACAAATAACATTCGTCCACTCTTCATTTGACAAATCATCACAAATAAGATTGCATGAATTAATTTCAACATTATTCAATTAGCTTAAATTACTATCAAATAAACTAAAGCCTTAATATCTGTATATGCCAAATTTCTCCTACTTAACTCTTTAGATCCCAAATAAACATTCATCTAGGCTAATAAAAAAATACTATTTGATGCAGCTCTATCTTGAATGCTTAACTAATCCAATCAATTATGAATTTATATTTTCTATATTAATTAATTGCTCTTTTGATAAAATTAAGGCCCCTCTAAAGTTGTCAGTAGAACTATAAGTTTTGGATGATTAAATACTGATTTAATTAAAATTTGTTTATTCTTCTTAAAATGTTCCTACTAGTCTTTTATGACATTACTTCTAAAATTTTGTAAAGATGTTTAAAGATCAAATATATATTTGGCAACAAAGGATTCTTGAATTTATTTGTGTTTGGATGAATAACTATTTCCTTTAGTACTTAACAAAATACAGCTCTTAATTAATTTTTGAGACTCATTCTCAATATCAAAATATTGGTTCAACCAATCATCAGTTACCTAATCAATTTTGTAGTTACTTTTTAAATCAAGTTTTCATAATGGCTTATACTCTATTTAAAATATTTCACTTAAAGTCATATCTATGGATAAGAATAGGAGGATTCATAAATATCAAAGGCAAAACTATCATTGTTATATATTCCATCCAATTCCCTTTATTTTTGAATTTATTCTTCATTATAAAAGTTAATAAAGGTTTCATAAAATTCAAATACTGTAAATATTTTCATTTACAAAACAGTTCCTACAAAATTAAAATCATTCGAACTTAATTTGATATGAATATTATCAGTCATCATAGTAGTTTTATCATATTTTTATTGACTAAAAATTGAATATTTTGAAAAAAAGTTCTTATTATCAAGTAAATCAATAATATTAATTAGTTTAGCTTACTCTATTGTCGATAAGTATTCTATCTCTTTTTATTATATTAGCAATTATTCATCATCTCCTTCAATCGATTATAATTATAAATTTTATTTTTGGTACTAATTGTTTCATAATTTTTGAATGCATCCTATTTTTCAACTTTAAATAATTATTTATAAAGATTTCTTTCATTCACTGAGTCCTGAATATTTTTGGTCATGATTGACTTGATATCTTATTTTTAGGAATAGATAGATAAAAATGCTGTATAATGGGTATGCCTAATTTTATCATTTTCTATGGCTTTTAATTTTTTTAAGACTGTTGTATGTGTTTATTTATTAAATGAAAAGGAACAACATTCAAAAGGGAATAATCAAAAATTAAGCTTCTTTCTTTCTAGAATCATAAAGGCTTGGTATGGATTGTTCTGAAATTATATATGTTGAAAATAAATAGGGGTTTGAAGAAATTAAATAACGAAAAATGACATAAAAATATTATAATAAAATACAAATTTATCAAGCGAAAGTTGATAGAATAAGCAATTTTACCTTACACTTGAGGATGAGTGAAATAAAATTTCATAAACATTAAATGCTGGAAAATTTGAAGATAAATTGAAAATAGAGAGCTAAATTCTATAATTATGCATCAAAATAAATTTTTATTCAAATCATACATGATAAATAAATGCCTGAAATTTACTAAGCGTAAATGAGTAATCCGAATACAAAATGTTAATGTTAGAATTGATTAATCAAATGATTCATTAGTTTTCTCAAGTACATGTAGTTGTAGCCTTAACGTTTATTGATTCTAGAATATGTAATAATAAAATGATTGACTAATGCGCTTAAATAGCAAGATAAATCTTGTTAAATTAATGTAGTTATCTGATTAGCCTATTCAACATCAATTTATTAATGCATAATCTAGTCTTTTTTGGATATTCATCATAAGGAATTATGCAAATCAACATTAAAAGTACTTGGTGATTACTTTTTCAATCCTATTATGTCATTTAATCAAACAAAAAATGCTTAAGGAAGGATACTTTTCGAATATGATAAAATTATTGCAACATAATCAGATGAAATTAAACAAGTAATTAAAACAGTTGTCTTGAAGAACTTGTATCTAAATTAAGAGAATTGTTAAAGTAAAGCTCTTTACTTGCATCTTCTATGGTATTAGAATATGTCTGGCCAGAATTCTTAAAATGAGCTAAAATAAAAATACAAAAAATCTGATATTTACATGAATAAAATAACCGATTTGGATCTCATCAGAATTATGAAGATTCTCTAAAAAACCTAATTTTTAAATCATTATTAGATAATGAATTGGAAAGTCTGAATTAAATGAAACGTATCTAGGAGATGAAGAAACATCTATTTCAACCAAACAAGAAGAAAATATTTATGTATCTAAATTAAGACACATAGTCTAATTAACTGGCTATTGTTATCACATTTATGCAGAAGCTTTTATTAATGTTTAAATGAAAACAAATAAGATTTAGACCTTAGGGAGAAAGTAAAGCAAATGAAAAAGGATAAAGTTTTCATTCTAAGACATTGAATCGTTATATGGAGCAATTCATGAGGAAAAAAGGCTGAAATTGAAAAAGCTTATTTAGAAAAAATATTTATTAAAGGCCAAATCCATCGAAGAAACCCAGCCTAAAAGCAATATTATATGTATTAATATTTATGCTTAAATCAAATTTGTATTTATATATCATTTATGTTTAGACTATGACTTTTTAGTTAATGCTAGTTTTGAGGTTGTTAATAATAAATTTTAAAGATTAATGTGAATCAGAAGTAAGGTTAAAGAAATTTTTGAAATAATATTAAAGTATTCTCGACTAAAATTAATTGAATTAAATATATATAATGTTATTTATGATTAAATAATAATAAAATCAGTCATTATAATAAAATTAATAAATGTCGAAACTTAAGAGAGGATTAACAAAAGATTTTGAAAAGGAACAGGAAGAGCAGGCATTAGCAAAGGAAGAATTATTTTAAGTATAAGTGAATGTTAATGTATAAAGCCTGTTGTCTAAATTTATCAAGATTACCAATATTTATCTGAAGAATAAATTGATGTTATTGCTAAAATACTTCAGGTTATTGATTTTTTTAAGGAAAATTGTCCTGACACATAAACATTAATGGAATTTACAAAATTATGTTGCCAAAATTTAATCTATGAATTCATACCAAAAGATTCTCCTGTTTTTCATATTGGTAGATTTTGCTTTCATATGTAGATGATGCTGGTGATAAATTCTATATTGTTCTGAGTGGGAGGGCAGGAATTTATATCAGAAGACAACCAGCATCTATCGAAGCTGATGAAGCAGCTGCTCAACCAAGAATATTAAAAATGCTTGAAAAATTGCATTTGGAATCGATTTAATAATTATAAGGAGAGGAATTAATGAAATTTTATAGTTAAGTTATTAAAAAGTAGGCTAAGCCATAAAAAGTGATTGATTCAGAATTAATATTATTTCGATCAGGAAATTTTGATAAATATTTCACAAATCAAGGAATTTGTAAATTTATGTTAGTAGCTTAAAAATAATCAGGTACTATTTTTGGTGAAATGGCATTAACTAATGATAAACCTAGAACTGCTAGTATTTTTGGTTTAACTGATTTAAAATTACTATCTTTATCAAAAGCTAATTTTAAGGTAAATAGAATAAATATATATAGTAAGTGGGAGAAAAAGGAATGAAAGCATTATAATAAAAGATAGACTATTTTTTAAAAATGTTTCCACATATGACGAAACATAAAATGTCAAAACTTATTTTGTATTTTACATCTGCCAAATTTCCAGCTAACTTTTTCATTTGGAAATAAGGAGATGAAACTGATGGATTCTTATTATTAAAAGATGGAGAAATGTAATTATTATAAAATGTTGAATTTCCAAAACCACCTAGTTAGAATAATGTAGATTTTACATTAATGTCTTTATTTTAAAATTCTAAATAGGAAGTTAAAGATATAAAAGAAACTATAATTTTAGCCAATTTAACAGGAGGATGTTTTGTTGGAGAAACAGAAGTTGTCTAAAAAAAAGAAAAAAGAGATTATTCTGTAAAAACATTAACTATTTCTAATTGTTATTGTCTTTCTTTAGAAGTAAAATATTATAGTAATTATTTTGAGAATTATCATATTGTGAGGAAAACATTTCCTGAATTCTTTTCAGCTTTAAATTCTCTTCAATAAAGAAATAGTTCTCTTTTTAGAAAAAGAATTGAGGATATTGTAAAAACTAAGAGTAGTAACTTCTATCTTACAAAAAAGGAAGAAGCATTAGCAGTTGAAAGAAGATATGCAAATGAATTTGGTAAAGATGAAGCTAAACCATTTTTATCATCTCCTATCCTTCGATCTACATTTTAATCAAAACTCTCTAAATAATAGATGGTTGAATAAAATAAATCAATTATTGATTAACATACTAAATTAGATGAATAATTTGGTGAAAAATAAGAAGAATTTAATATGCTCAAATTAGCAGGAGATAATTTTTAAAAATGTCTTTTGATAAGAGTTGAAAAGTAATTTGAATAATTTTAGCCAGCAAAACCAAAGTAAATTATATTTTTAATACATCTAGAGCAAAAACTCCACATTTTAGTAAATAGAATAGCACTGTCAAAGATATCCTATAATCGGTTCGTCGTAGATAATTCCCTTCTTTTGCTACAAATAGAGATTAATTATCTTATAGGTAGTCAAATGAAGAAGATTCTTAACAATTGCCTTAAATAAAAGTAGCTAAATAGCATATAAGAGTTGTGAATCCAAATATTTCATCTAAAGTAGATATCATAAAATCAAATTATTAATCATTTATGAAATCTAAATCTATGAGTTCTAGATTAGATAGATTATCAGAAAATTAAATGTAAGGATTTATGTTGACAGATTCTATTAATACTTATCATCCTTTACATAGTTTTTAGAATAAAGATGATTAAACTAAGCATAAGAAAAGAATTAAAACATAATCTAAAGTTGAATCTGATTATTAAAAATCAATATTATGATATATAATTAAATTTAAAGTAATAACAATTTTATACATATTAAGTTTTTGTATGTATATTTTAGATAGATTTGATTCTTCTAATGGATTATTATATCTTAAATGCTCTTAATTGAGAGATCCATTAATTTAGAAAGTAATAAGTGAATTTACTTATCATGATGAATATGATTAAATTATAAAATGTATATATAAAATCCATATTAGATTGTCTACCATACTTAAAAATTAAATTTTGTATCATTTATAAGTAATTATATGATATGTCCACAACTTTGAATAATTAATTGTAATCTAAAAATAGAATTAAAAATTTGAATTATATATATGAAGCTATTAATTAAAGTATAAATCTTAAGTTAATAATCAACTGAATAATAATCAATAATCAGTTATATAAATATTTGGATATAAATATCAGAATTGTGACATTTTAAATATAATCATTAAAATAAATCAATAAAGTATATAATGGGAATAATTAAAATGAATTTTGCTATTGGTTTCTTTGCTTTATGCTTTTAAGGATTGGTCTTGTATCCTTGGCATGAAACCATCTCTGAATAAGTGGCCAAATTAGAGAACAATATTGTAAGATTGGAATAGATGGAAGCGTAATTAAAGACTCATATGGAGAGAAATTAGGAGTTGATTAAGCAAAGAATAATTGAGAATGGAAAAAATATATGATGTGATTTTTTATACATTTAAGTTTTTGTAAATATTCTATAAATAATGTTATCCTAAAAATAGTAGCAAATATATAAATAATCTTAAAAGACAATTTTATGAATTCTATTACTTACTAAATGATCAAGAAGAAGATTTGTTTATCATCTTGATCTAAAAATAGAACTAAACTAAGGATTTCTAGAAATTAATAGAAAATATCTTCCTTCAAAGCATAAAATTAGATTGAAGAGAAATTTATTATTAAATTAAACTAAACTTAGTAAAACTCATGGTTCTTCCTAAAGTGAATATGTTTGTTGGAATCTGTGCATTAAGCTTTTAGGGTTTTGTGCTTTACCCTTGGCATAATGTGATTTACGAATAAGTTGGAAAATTGGATAAAAATATTAGAATACTAGAAATAATGTAGCAATAACTTGTTAAGGAAGCTGAGCAACTAAAAAAATTGAACCCAATTTGATACATATTCATGTATTTCTTTTAATATCATAACATGCTTATTGTATAATTTGTTTTCATTTTTGAATCTATTTTTAGATGTTATATAATTCAAATTATTTTGGTTGTTAAAATCAAATTCTAATAAGTCCATTCTGTAACAGCGATTATGCTTGAAGTATAATAACACAAAGAAGTGAGAAATAAATAAGATTTGAAGCATGAATTCAATCTTGATCACTTATAATAGATTAATAAATTAAGAGTGCTCAATTTTAATAAAAATATAATTCTAACATTAAGAAAAAATAATTTAATACATCTAAAATTAGATCTAATTTATTTGAGAAGATAGGATGAGAGACGAAACATTTTATTGAATTAGATAGAAATAAATCTTAAAGAATAGTTTAAGACAACAGAGATAATTTTCATAGAATCCAAAAATAATAATGAGTTGATCTAATTAATTTCTGATTAATAAGTTCTAGCAAATTGTAAATAATATTGTTATTAAAATTTAGTGACATTAATTATACTCACCTAGATTAAAGTAGAAGCATTTGATTTATAATTTGTAAAGAATTATCAAGATTGTAAGCTTATAATTGGATTAGTATTGAAAGAGTCCGAAGATTGTAATTAACCATTTTCCATTCAATAAAATATAATACAATCAACATTTTATCCAAGAAATATTATTGTCTTAACTTTATTATAATACTATTGATATCCTAATATTAATATATAATCTAAATTATTTGTGTATTTTGGAAGACATCATATATTCTTCATTAACAAAATCTTAGAGTAAATAGAATTTCAAATAATTGATATATAAATTATATGATTATGAATTATAATCTAGAGATTAGATTCAAAATTTATTTCATAGTATGGTAATCTTGAATTAGATAATTAACAGGGAGGCATTGGCTATTTAAGTTCAAATTTAATAATGCGATAAAAACTGATTTGAATGTCACTGTTTTAGTGCCATTGAGATTATTTAATTCTTATTATTACTTCTCTAATTAAGGATATAGAAATAGATTTTGATTTGAATTAGAAATTTTTTTTAATGTACAATATTTTTGCAAACAGCCATTAACATATCTCTACATGAAATTAAAAACACTCGTTGAGTAAACTCAGAATTGAGTCAATAAATCCGTTCAGTATTTAGCAAATTTTATCAGAAGCATTAATAATAGATATATGTAAACATCTATCTTTTAAAAAAATAAAGATTTCAATTATGCTTTTTGTCATTCAAATAGAATAGATTGATTGATTATCAATTTGAAAATCTATAAAATAATAGAATTCTTGAGTACCATAAAGATATTTGTATACAATTTTGGTTTATTTAGTAGATTTAGTATAAAAATCAATTGATTCACATTATCAATATTCAAATAAATTACTTTTATCATTACATCAAAGCCCGTCCTTATTGAAGTTGATTTGGTTGAAAATTATTTGAATATAATGAAAATATCCTATTCTGATTAATTCAATATTATTAGCAAAAATACATTAAAAATACAAATAAATAAATAAATAATATTTATAAATGAAAAATTATATGATATTTATATCTAAATGATTAATTATAATATTATTATTAAAGTATTTTAGAATCAAAACTTAACTAATATACCCTATTTCTCCCACGCCTTTAATTTTTATGAATCTTATTGATATTTATATAATAGATTGTTTTGTTCTGTTTTTTTCTATTACAGTGTCTCTTACAATATTTTAATTTCCATTTGTAGTTTTTCTAAATATTCTTTATCTTACTCCAATTATATTCGAAAATTATTTTATTATTCTGCATCAATTTGTCTGCTTAGGTTTATCAGATTTTGCTTTTATAATTATTGAAAACTATTATCATTTTCTTATTCAAAAACTGAGTCAGTAAAATCAAATTTTTCTAAAGAAATATTTTCCAAATTTTAGAAGATATTTTTACATATATCTTCAGTACAATCAGACTTATGTAAAAATAAAATATTTTTAAAGCTAAAATGAGCAAATTTCTATTTTATCTCTGCAAATTGCTCCTCATCATATTGACATTAATTAATAATTAATACCATTCTTTGTCTATTTAGACGATGAAATTTCTTTATCATGTTTGTAATTTTTTGAATCATCATATCAGTTCTTTCAAATTTCACTAAAATTAAAAAAAAATGAATTTCATTTTTGTAGAAGTAATCTTTAAATTAGGTTATAGTATTTTCACTATCTTGAATGAAATTAAATAGAGGAGCATTGTGGAAACGATATTTATTGTTGATTATTGAACTTTGAACAAACTAACTGCTTTATCGCTCATTTGTTGAATAATTTTATTAGATAATGTTAAAAATTGTTGTTTTTACTTCTTCCTCATTGGATAAAAGCATAATTTATAATATTTTTTCAAGTATTTCTGTTGAATCTTTTTGCTAAGAATTTTAAGTTACTTCATTAATTATTCTAAATGAAAACTCTTAGAAACAGTCATTTATTATTTAGGAAAAAGTTATATAGCATATCTTATTATTGCATGCTAGACAATAATAATTCTAAAATGAAGGGTTATCAAGGTGAATTTCAATTTGATGTAGATGCTCTAATTGATTTGAAGAATTGTAAGAAAACAACCACTTACACTTTTAATTTGAGCAATATCTAAAGGAAGAGAACTTCAAAGACTTCGGCATTAAATTATCAATAAAATCTTTTTTTCTTTCTTCTAACATTTGCCTTATATTAACAGCCAAATTAAATATCTAAACTTGAGATTGGGATTCCACTTGTAATTTATCTGAAATTTGAGAAATCGATTATTCTAAAAGTATGTTTTTAAGAAATTCAGCTTAGGTTTTACTTTTTGTAATAATTTCCTTCCATTTTGTAAAAATAATGTTGAATTTATTATCTGCAATCTCTTTTAAATTGTTCCCTTAATAAATTCTAGGTTTGATATTTGTCACATTTAACTATTTTTTTTCCTTAAGTAATGGAAATATATTTTTCAATTGATATCGATCCAGAAGAATAATTTTATAATTATTGTTCTTTTCTTGCTTTTTAACGTAATCATTTAGAGTCTAATATTATGTCAATAGCAGAATATTATTCTAATTAATTTGACAACCCATTTCAATATGTACATCATTCAATAATGGAATTATATCATTTTGAACATCTGTAAAACAGTAGAAAATGATACAATTTTCAAAATTTTCCAATTTACAAATTTATATCATATTATTCCACATAGAAATTAACTCATCTTTTTTAATAGTACTTGGAGTATTAAGTATGTTATATTAAATGGATTTATGTTATTGTATAGTATTCAGGACTGAATATGAATAAGGTATAGGAATCTACTAGTCTTAAGAGGCCATTCCTGAGTATAATTAATAGATTGAGTCCTTTAATTATTAATCGTTGCCCATTAGAGCAATAAGGGAATAATGCATAATTAATTAAAATAATGAATAAAGAATTCAGAAATATAAATAAATTTCTAATAGAATTATGTTGCTTCCTGTTTTTCGACTTGTAATAGAATTTAGTGTATTTAAAAGGAGATCTGTTACTTGTTCAAGTATTAAATATGGCAAAAAGATAAATTGTTCTAACTGGGTTTCTAGGAAGCGGAAAAACGACACTTTTTAATTTGATATGCAATTCAAACCAACCAGTAAGATAAGGAGGTAATTCATTAACAAGGTAATTAAAAATTGAAAAATAGACAAACATTCTTAAAAGAGGCTGCTTATGGTAGTGGATTTCGAGTTTTAGACACTNTGAAGAATTGTAAGAAAACAACCACTTACACTTTTAATTTGAGCAATATCTAAAGGAAGAGAACTTCAAAGACTTCGGCATTAAATTATCAATAAAATCTTTTTTTCTTTCTTCTAACATTTGCCTTATATTAACAGCCAAATTAAATATCTAAACTTGAGATTGGGATTCCACTTGTAATTTATCTGAAATTTGAGAAATCGATTATTCTAAAAGTATGTTTTTAAGAAATTCAGCTTAGGTTTTACTTTTTGTAATAATTTCCTTCCATTTTGTAAAAATAATGTTGAATTTATTATCTGCAATCTCTTTTAAATTGTTCCCTTAATAAATTCTAGGTTTGATATTTGTCACATTTAACTATTTTTTTTCCTTAAGTAATGGAAATATATTTTTCAATTGATATCGATCCAGAAGAATAATTTTATAATTATTGTTCTTTTCTTGCTTTTTAACGTAATCATTTAGAGTCTAATATTATGTCAATAGCAGAATATTATTCTAATTAATTTGACAACCCATTTCAATATGTACATCATTCAATAATGGAATTATATCATTTTGAACATCTGTAAAACAGTAGAAAATGATACAATTTTCAAAATTTTCCAATTTACAAATTTATATCATATTATTCCACATAGAAATTAACTCATCTTTTTTAATAGTACTTGGAGTATTAAGTATGTTATATTAAATGGATTTATGTTATTGTATAGTATTCAGGACTGAATATGAATAAGGTATAGGAATCTACTAGTCTTAAGAGGCCATTCCTGAGTATAATTAATAGATTGAGTCCTTTAATTATTAATCGTTGCCCATTAGAGCAATAAGGGAATAATGCATAATTAATTAAAATAATGAATAAAGAATTCAGAAATATAAATAAATTTCTAATAGAATTATGTTGCTTCCTGTTTTTCGACTTGTAATAGAATTTAGTGTATTTAAAAGGAGATCTGTTACTTGTTCAAGTATTAAATATGGCAAAAAGATAAATTGTTCTAACTGGGTTTCTAGGAAGCGGAAAAACGACACTTTTTAATTTGATATGCAATTCAAACCAACCAGTAAGATAAGGAGGTAATTCATTAACAAGGTAATTAAAAATTGAAAAATAGACAAACATTCTTAAAAGAGGCTGCTTATGGTAGTGGATTTCGAGTTTTAGACACTCCTGGATATGGAGCAAAAGCAGAGAAAATTATTCATGCTGTTGGTATATTAAATGCCCTTTCAGAAGGACCAGTTAGCTAAATATTTTTAATAGTTAAATGGGAACGAATAGAATTTATGTAGGATTATTTGAAATCTATGGTTGTGAAATTTAGAAGATTTAAACATCTTTTAACTGCCGCTGTTACACATTGGGATACTGCCGATAAGGAAAAAATAAAAATAGACTAAGAATAATTTATCATTTTATGTAAAGGATTTGGAATAGATTCTGTTATTTTTGTATCAAAATTTGATTCAGGTTATAAAGTTTGTACTTAAATTGATACTATTTTAAATAAATGTTAAGCCGAAAAAATTGAATTAACTGAAGCAGAATTTTATTCTAATTTTGATTTAATTGAATTGAAACAAGATATAGAGTTAGAATTAGAATTTTAAAAGGAAAATGTAAACAACAAATTTAGAAAAATTGCATTAGTTATTAGAGAGTTTATTATCAATTTTAATGAAGCCAATCCTTCAATGTATGAAGTAATGCATTACCTTGCTTTGGAAACTAAAAATATTGCAGAAAAAATTATCTCAGATTTCGAGATTTAAAACAATGATTCATTTTCTAAGTTGTTCTAGTATCATTCAAACCCTAGTCTTGCCTATTTAGTTCATTTTGAATTAAAAAAATAACTAATGCAAGAGATAAAAGAAATTGTTGAACTTACCTAATAAAAAAATGAAAGGTGATAAAAATCATTTTTTTAATTTTATTAAGGCATGCCCATTTTGCAATACAATTTGGTTAAAAGTAGCTGGATGTGGAGGAGTAACAACTTGTGGAGAATTTCCAGTAAAAGATGAATATTTTAATAACTTTAAAATGCCTTTGAAATATGAATTTACTATTACAGAAAAAGGAATAACTTACAAAATTAATGAAAAATATAAATAAAATGAGGAGAAAATAAAAAAATATAAAAACAGTGAGTCCTTTTGGTTTAAGATTTTATAAAATTAATCGCCGTCTTCACAGATATATCATCAACCATTAAAAGAAAAAAGAAAAGGATGTGGTAAACCTATAGTTTGGGATGAAATTCCAGCCCTTTCAGGTAAATAATTAAAAGAGCTAATTGATCCAGGACTTATGGATTACTTTGTTTAGGAAGTTCCAAAAGAAGAACTGAAGAAAACCTTAATGAAAGCATAAAAGTCTGTTTAAGATTAGGTTGAAATAATGAAAAAAGAAAATAAAGTATATAAATTATGAGATTGATGCTTTATTTAATAATATTATTTAATCTAATAATTTCAAAAATCCTTAAACAATTAAATATATATGATATTAAAATCTATTTATAAATTTAAGAAATTCAGATTTTATATTTAAGATGCAAAGAAAATATTATCAATTAAAATAGAGTATGATGATTTTATTATTCGATATGGAACAATTAGAATTTCTAGCTTTAAGTAAATATATTTTTAAAGAAATCGATTCTATCCCAATAGTATAGTAAAATTGAATATTACAGTAAAATTTATCATAAACTTTCAGAATTTCATAATCGCATTAATAAATAATATAGTGTATAATCTAAACTGATACATAAATAGATAATTGGCTTCAAATTCTAATATACTTCTTAATCTAGAGCCAAATACTCTATGAAAGATTAATAACAAAATGAAAAAAAGGAAGAAGTTCTTTTAACAATTGAAAAAGAATTTCTAGAATAATTTCATACATAGATTTATCAATAATTAGATTATTCATAATCATTTAAAAAATATTAAAATAAGGAAATATTTATATTTAAGAGGATGAAAGTTTTATCAGTAGCTTGAATTTTATATATTTTTGAATTTTTGATTAATTTGATATATTATCATTTGTAAACATAAACATAACTATTTTACAATTTATTGTCAATTTCTTTTATATGATTTAATGTCATACAGATTATCAATTAATCTTTGTGCTTCTTCATACATAGATTATTTAATAGGAGTTGTTTCTCCAATCTTCCTTTTTGGAGAAGGCTAATAAATACTTGGTAATTTTTTAGATTTTAATCTTTCTGATTTTGTACCTTATCCAAAAATATTAAACATTTATTTATAATTCTCAAGTTCATTATTAAAATATTTTATAATTTCAGTGGCTTTAGTTAATTAATACTATAAATTCTCACTATGAGAAATCTAATTTTCTAAATGCTTTTACAATTCAACCTTTTTCTTAATAACTTCTTTTGGTTTTTCTAGTTATTTTAATAAAGTTTAGTTTTCTTATGAACTTCTTAAAATTTATTATTTCATTTATTTTACATTATCTCTCATCCTTTCTTACATTTGCTAAGCTTTTTCTTATAAATCAGTTATATTATTAGCTTATACTTGATTTTATTATTAAAGAGCAGAAATTTGTTCCTTTAGAATAGAGACTTCATCCTTCTATTAAACTTAAAATTCATCTTAGTCACTTTGTAATATTTAAAGACTAAATTAATGCTAATTTCTAGAACTATAATCTAACATATTAGAGGCAATTTGATTTTTTTTATTAGGTGAAAAATAGTAACTATTTGACCTTTCTTATGGATGGGTATTAACTGTTTTTTAATTTTCATTTATTATAAATTACTCTAATAAATAATCTTCAGTTTAGCAAAAAATATCCTATGTTTGAATTTCCTGATTAATCTCTTATTCTTAAATTTGATTATTAGAAAAGTTAATTTATAATTTACTTCTTCTTCTAAGATTTGAATGATGAGTTGCAAAGGCTTAAGTAAAGTTAGCACTAGCAAATTTAGAATGAGGTGTTTCTTCACTTTATTTTGGAGATGGTCCAGTTATTTATTCCTTTGTATTTAATCCACTATTAGTACTAATATGATAATAATATTAATCTTCTCTATTTTTTGATCTTTAATTTCTTTTCTTTCTGAGTTTTTTGATTAAATTAGATTATTTTTTTTATTCTTATATTTCATCTAAATCTAAGTTAGGAACTTATTCTTAATTCTATTTAAAATTAGAAATAGGGGAGATTTGAGTAGTTTATTAATCAGCATTTTTTAAATTTAGTTTGAATGTATTAGGAGAGAAGGAACTAACATCTTTAGGCCACAAAGAAGGTGATGTTTATTATTACTGATGCTCAATTTCTTATGAAAATTATGTCTAAGTTGAAAAATGATTTGTAGGATTGGTTAAATAAAAGTTTTCTAAGGATTGTTAAATTTATTATTCCGACTATAATTATTCTTCATTAAGTACAATATTATTGTTTTTCTTCAAATTAGCTATTATTGCTTTAGTTTAATGAAGATATAAAGATTGTTATTACATATCAGCTCTTAATTATTGAGTTTATTATTATTACTATTATAATTGAATTTATTGATTTTTGATTAAGATTAATTATTGCTCATTTTTTAAAATTTCTTATTCATATTTATTTCTTACTTATTCTAATTCTTTATTGGCTCTAATAGATGCTTTATTTGCTTCTGAAATTCTGAATTCACTATCTTTAATCAATTTGTCCATACGTTTTTCATATGTATTTCTTAATTCCCCTAAAGCAAATTCATATTGATCTTATTTAATGGCCACTTAAGTATTATGTTCTTCTTATTATTATTGTAACATTTAAGTATATTTAAATTTCATTTATTCTTATTTCTCTATTTCTTCATTAATTTGATTTGTAAGTTCTTCCAATTTCTCATTATAAGAATCCACTAATTCAAAATGTGAGTTTTAATTCTTCTTAATTTTTTTGTTCTCATCCTCTATCAATTAATTTAATTAAAATATTCTTTAATCTTTTTATCTTATTAACTCATCCTAATGAGAAATAATATTTTATTGTTCTATTGATTACTTTGAGACTTCCATTTTGATTTGTTCATAATTAGAATTACGTTCCTCATTTAAAAATAGTAACTGGTTAGCTTATTGTGTCAATATTTATGATTCTATATTACGTATTAGAGTTTGAAATACATTTACTTAATGTTTCTTACATGGATTTCATATCTTCCTACAAAATAGAAATCAACGTTGGAAAATCTGCTATTCTCTTCACTAGTTCTCTACTCTCTGTTTCCCTAATAATTTGTGATAAATTCTCTCTTTATTACTAAATTACTATATTAATAGGATAATACTTCTAAATAAGTTTATGTTGCAAGTATAGTATTTTTAAGTTCATCATTTTCATTTCTCAATGGTTGTAATTATTAGATTACATGTATGATATTCTCTTCAACCTTTTGATTGAACAACATACTTGGTTAAGTAAGAAGACTTTTAACATCATTAGATGTTTTATCTCTTTTTTTATTGTGTCTCTCATTATTCATTATTTATGTTTACTAAAATTTATACAAATTTTCCTCAATACCTCTACTTACTATTTCATTGATAGATAGATCTTCTTTTGTTAAATCCTCTCTCTTTAATATAATGTAATCAGGAGAGAATGTAGCTAATCAAGTCAAATCAAAAGAACATAACAAGAGATAGAAAAGAATCAGAAAAAATCAAAAATATTATATTAGGCTATATCTGAAATCATTTCACTTCCTATTTGATTTGTTAATACTGAAGGTATTGAGAATGTAGCTTTAAAGAAGTTTCTAAATCCATCATAATAGAAGATGTTAAGGCAGACAATCAATGCAATTAAATATTCTGATATAGCTTTATTTGTTGTTGATGCTAAGGCTATGACTACAAAAACACTCTAATTAATAAATCCTGATCCTAAATTAGTTAATGAATTAAAGGATTAGAAATCAAACCTAATCTTAAAAAAGTGATGCAATTTTTGAAACTGACATTGATTCATAACTTAAACGATTGAGGCTTAGAAATTCAAAATATGTCTCTGCAGTTAATGGAATAGGATTCTAAGATCTTCTTACTAAAATCTCTGAAAATATTCCTCAATCTGTACATGAAGAATATTAAGAAACAAAAAAGGAAGTTCTAAAATTATAATCAATTGTATTCTACATGAAAATATGGGTATTTTTCCGTTATCATTAATTATACCTAACGAAGAGAATTTTTTTGTTTATTGAATTAAATATCAGAACTTCTTAATCTTAAAAATTTGTACTTTCATCTAATCTTTTTTATAAAATTTATTGTGCAAATACTACAAGATCTACCTTGAGATTTTCTAATGTTATTGTTCAATTAATTGATTTATTAGGAGCATTTAGGGAAGTAAATTTAGAACTTGTTTAGGAAATTGTAAAATAAGATAGAGGTTTAATCATAGTTTTATATAATGGAATATATTGATAATGATCATAAAGAAAAAATAGTTAAAAATTTGAAGAATTGGAGAAGCATCTTGAGGAAGTACCTAATGGTAAATTAATCACTATTACTGCTGAAAAAAGATTAACATGGATCTTTTGATCAATTAAGTTATTTAAGTTTATAATAGATGGAATATTAGAGTATTCTATTACTTAAACAATGTTTATAAATCTCTACTAGTCTTTTAAATGATTGGTTAAATAAATTTAAAAAGAGATAAGTTAAAGAATAGATTCATAGAGACACTTTCTTTCGCATAATTTATCAATTAAATATTAGCAGATTTATTATTAAAAAGTAGGAGAATTGCTAGATTGGTAAAATAGAAGTTAGATAAATTAAAATAGAAATATCAAGTGAATAAATTATGATTTAATTGTTTTATAGTCATTTAATTAATATTTTTAAATTCTTTATACCATGAATTTATTGGAATCTGATCTTAAATGAATAATAATTGAATTACTTTAATATAGTTATGAACAATAATTAAATTTTGTATCAAGTTAGTATATGAGTTAAATATATGTTATATAAAATTCATCTATAATGCAACTATTTTTTTAATAAATAACAATATAGAAATTTCATTAATTTATTTCATCCTTAATTAAATTAAAAGAACCAATAAAATTGGTAAGTTTTTCAAGTGGATTAATTTGTTCTTGGGATGATTTATCAAATTATAGATTAGTCTGCATAATTAATGTGCAATTTTTTGGTCTTATTACAAGTGTTTAACTTTATTCTCTAGTTGTTAATGCTTTATCTCTGGTAATTGATTACATGAAAGGATTTTTAGAAAAGGTTGGCATTGCAGATTTTTTAAGTCTTTTATAATTTGAATTAATTATTTACATAGCCATATTAATTTATTTTGGATAATCTATTTCGTTTTCAATTTGATCATCAGATGGTACAAAGAATTTATGTTTAAGTAATTCAGTTGCTTTCCATCTATGATTTGGATTTTTAGCTAACATTTTGGATATTAAATCTCTTTCAATATCATCTAATTAATCTTATGTAAATCTTTAAAAATTAATTTCACATCTTCTATTTAATTCTAATTATTCTCTTCTATCTTTTTTTTCAAATAATGGTTCTCCAACTAATCTAAATTTGCATAATTTAATACAAAACATAAAGTATAACACCAGCACTGAAAATATCACAAACAGTAGTATATCTAGCAAATTCTGAATCTTATTCCAATATCTCTGGAGCTACAAAACCTGGAGTACCACATTTAGGATAAGTGTATGGATGTTAATCACAAGATTAAGCCAATCCAAAGTCTGCAATTTTAAGAGATTCTAAATCTTTTGACATAAATAATATATTTTCTGGTTTTAAATCTCTATGCATTATATTAAATGAATGAATGAATTTTAGTCCTTCTAATAATTATCTCATTATTATTCTAATATCATTTCTACTAAATAAAGTAGATCTCTTTTTCATTAAAGACAATAGAGATCCACCTTTGGCTAATTCCATAACTAAATAATAATTCTGATTTCCAATATATAATTCATTTAATTAAAGAATATTCTTGTGTTTATGTTCAGACAGAATACGCATAGTTTCAATCTCTTACATTAATTAACGATATCCATTTTTTTTTTCATTTATTTTTTATTAATCTATGCATTTAGCCGCATATTATTGATTATTATACAAATTAGTTAATTCAAGTACAGTAGCATAGGAACCCTTGCCTAAAACAGATTCAGCTTAATATTCATCTTGTATTTTCATTTGAAATGCATACAAAGCAAATTTTTATTTTATTTCTCTTAGTTATTCATTACTTCCAAAATATTCATATGAATGACTTCCAACTTAAAATGTTATTGATTTTAGCATATTTTTCGAATATTGCCACTAAATACGAGTATCTGTATTTATTGCGAATTATCTCTCAGGAATTTGTACCTTAGGAGACTGTTTTCATATAATAATATCCATACTTTTCCAATACAAATGTGATTCTTAAATAAGTAGATATACCTTGGACTCTTACCAATAAATTTTTTCTTAGTTAAAATACATTAGTATATGCACTCATTGTAATCGACACTTTATAATGTATTTTACACTCCTTCATGGACTGTGCGAGATTTTTGTCTCATATTTAATTTAATAATATTAATATACACAATTATTGGAATAAATCAGAAACTAATACCTTTTTTATAATAATCAAAAAGATTTATGACATGAACCAATTATAATATTAATTTTAATACGAGAAAATTATTTCGATATATATATAATAAATATAATTCATTCATTCTCAATATTATCATCAAAAATTTCATTCATTTATTCTTAAATATATAGTAAATCTTCAGGTATTAAATCAGCTGCTATTTTACTTAAGTAAAGTGCCTTAGTATCTGCATCTAAGATTCTATACGAAATCCAATAGCATTCTTTTAATTCCTTAGTTTTCAAAGCCTATACTATTAAATTTCAAATTACTTAATCAAGTTTTTAAATTATACTTTGATAGTAATCACCTTCATTAGGTTCACTAAAATCAATTCTATTAATCAATAATTATTATATATTTATCCAATTATCTTTCAGATCATTCAAATTCTTAATTGGATCATTAAAATCAACATTTTTTGAAAATTTCTAATATGCTAACTGTTAATTAATACTGAAAACTTTTCTTCTGAAAAAATATTATTTTCTAAAGAGAATGTAACAAATCGATCAAAAGACATTGCTTTTTCACCACTCTCATTTGATATAGTATCACATCTTTCCATAAATTGAGTTCTAATTAACTTTTTATTTGATTTAGTTCCTTAATTAATTTCAAAATGTAAATATAATTTTTGAAACTCTTGAAATTCTATCATTCCATCCATATCCATATCAGCTGAATAAAATACTTCCTCAAAGTGTGCTTAATGTGACAATTTGTATTAATGATATCCATTTAATAATTTACTAATAAAGAAATCTACATCAACACAAATTTTGTTCTTTCTTTCATAAGTATTTAAACGAATATCCTTTATTATTTTATCCTTAATTTCTACACCCAAACATTAATGTTGAATATCCAAAGATGCTATAGCTTTATCTAATGTAACTAATACTCCCTTCTCATTTACAATTGATGCCATATGTAGAGCTATTTCATTTTCATCAAGAATTTTCAATGATTGGATATAAATTTCTAAATCATCCAATGTAAGGGGACTTAATAATTCCAAAAATCTTGAATCAATCATATATATACCTTCCAAATAGATTGATTCTGAAATTTTCTCTATAAAAATATATTGATTAATAGAAATTTGTTAATTTTTATTCAGCCATACTCTTGAATCCATAAGTATTGACAAAATGCTCATAACATATTTAATGTAAAGGAGTATTTTTGTTAGAATATTGTTTAATTTTTTCACAATAAAATTATGAAATGAATTTTAAAACATTTATTCTTTACATCTTAGGTGTGGCTAACTTTGGATTTTTAGAAAAACGCTCAGCCAAAAAAGTAACTAAATATTTAGATCTCTAAAAATTGAGTTAAGATGTCGATTCAGCATTATTTCTATTTTAAAATTCTTAAAATGTTCAACAATTAATTACTTGGGGCTTATGTTTATGTAATATTTCTTTTCTTTTATTGCCTATCTGATTTTCTTTTTGAATAAGCTTCCATTTTGGATGAAAAAGATGAATCAATACTCGAAGCCACACTATTATCTAATTCCTCATTTAGAAATTTTTTTAATGTGTCTGAAATCATTTTTACACTTTCAATATTAAGATTATTTGAAGTTGGAATACTTTTTTTTGCAGATTTTAATCCTTATCTATTATTACCATTATTTGTATTTAATTACTACAGTTATTATATTGATAATTACATGATTGCCAGGAGATTTAGCTTGAGACTAAATTTAAGATGATCTTCTATTTGATACAAAACTACGTTATGAAATGATATCCTATTTAACAATTTATATAATACATCTTAAGCTATTGAAATACTTTATTAAAATGATATCTAAGATAATGATCTATCACTCTCATTATCAGATTCCTTTTATTATTCCTCAGTATTTGTTATTTAAATATTCCATTTCTTTTTTGGTACACTTATTTATTAACTTGATATATCTTATTATATGATTGTATTAAATGAATTTTCAGATTTATTTTATTTTCTATTAGTATTTAATTATTATCTTCCAGGTGATGAAGCAATAAGATATTATTGTTGATTTGATGGATTATTTGATAATAAAAATTATTATTAAAAATTTTACGATATTTCTATAGATGAAGGTAATTAACTTTATGATTAGGTGGCAGGTTATTTTTTTTATCCAAAATTATTAGTTTTCTTTTCTTATATTTTCTTTTTCATAATATTAGTGAATTATTATGTTTTAGTTAATTGATTAATTAAATTAGTAGTTTTTTCTATTAGTTATTATTTCTTATCTTTTATTTTATTATATTTTCTTTCTAATTTAGAATTGATCTATAATAATTAATTATATTTACTTATTCTTATAATTCTAAATGGTTTTCTAATTCTATAATTTCATTTTTAGCTGATTCTAAATTTAATTATAGATTATCATGATTTATTTTCTAATTCATTAATCAAAATATTACCAATAATTGTAATTCATTATTTTTTCTTTAATTTTCATCTTATTATGCACTATTAATAAGTAATAGACTAGTTCTATATTCTCTTTAATTTTAGACTGCTTATTTCATTTTAGATGAAACATCACCTAAACTTAGTAAAAAAGATGATATCTATTTTAAATCAGGACTGTTTATTTAATCCCCTTCTAAAAGTGATTTATAATTTTCTTAAGTTTTTATAAATTGTTCTTAAAATTGAATTAATTGATCTTCTTCAGTTTTAATTTCTTCAAGAATTTCTGTAGGTAATTCAGTTTGTATTTCTTTTTCTATAAAATTGCTTATACTATAATCAGTCTAAACAACATTATGTCTTAGATCAGGGAGAAGTATTGATCTATGTTTATAATTATATATAGGTTACTTATGTTCAGGTTAAATATTTGATGCAATAGTATGAGTGGATTAATCTTTTTATATATTCATTAGTGTAATTAGATCATTTGTATCAGTAGATTAATTAATGAGCATATCTTCAAAATTTGAAAGAGTAGTTTCTGAATCACTTTTTAAGGCATTTTTCAATTATTCTTCAATTTCAATATTAAATGATTTATGTGCACTAGCTTAGATAACTTTTATAGGTTATGGGAATTATAGAGGTGAGTGATCACTATTTTATGGGGATGAAATTCTGTAATTAGCTTATGATGATAATTAATAATTGTGAATATCAATTTCATTTTCTTAGATTTGTTATTTAAGATTTTGAATTTCATTTAATAAATATTTATTTGAAGTAGTGTAATCATTTAATTAGAATTTAAGTTCTCTGATTGTATTTTATAAATTTTTATTAGTTTTTTTGAGATATTTTCCATTATCTTTTAATCTAATTAATTTATCTGTAAGTTTTGTTTATTCTTATTTCTAATTTGAAATAATTAATTAAAAATTATCAATTTCATATTGATATAATTAATGTGTTTTCATTATTTATTTTAGATTTTATTTTTCATTTTCCTTTTTTTCATTAACAACTTAATTAATGACAGTAGAATTAATTTCCACATATTATGTCCAAATCTTTTCTAATAAAACACTAAATATATTTGTAAATTTACATCACCTCCTTTCAATACAATCAATACTAATTTATCGTATTAATTCTTTTAAACATAATGTTAAAACATTTTGTACTTCTTCATAAAAATCAATTTGTTTTTGATCACTGTATTTTTCTATAATCTATTATACCATCAGATCTACCCAAATAGCAAGTGATTTAATATCATGTCTAATTAAATAATTAAATATTACTTTTATGGAATACCTCTATGAATTTTATCTCTTGGATTATGTTTAGATAGATTACTACAGAAATTGCCTAATTATAGATAGGGTTCTTTTAATTCATTATGAATATGCACTTCGACAGTAGCTTCAATATTAATTAAAAGAATTACGCTCTCTTAGTGATTTAGGTGAGATATACAAATCTTATAGACGTGTAGGATATTGATAAGGATCAAAACTTTTCAATTGGCCATAAAAATCATTACGGGCTTAACATTTCATTTTATCAATTATTTCTAATTAATTTTGTGCAAGTAATGGAGATCCATAAAATATCTATGAATTTATTAATAGAATACTCCTTAAGATAGAGGCTTATGCTTTTAAGAATATCTGTAGGATATATTAGAGTAAGGTTATGAACTTTTTAAATTGGGAAGTGAATCTCGTTCTATTCTAGTCAATCTTTCATTAGAAGTATCAGATCTTTAAGTTGGCCATGTTGTTTAATATTGTTGTGTTGGTTAAATAGTTTTAAGAATGCGAAATTTAGTTTATTCACTCATTTTCAATTGTGGATAAATTAATTATATAAATATATCATTAAACTAAAATTGACTACTTTTTATTAAGAACATTAATTTTCTTCAAAGTAAAAAGTACACAAACAAATGCTATCATTCCTGAAGAATAGAGATATATGGTGAAATTAATAGATTTTTCTTGTCTATTTAATTAACTTATAAAAGATGTATTAAGTATATTAGTTTAATGTTTTACTAAATCTAAATCTCTTCTAAACTTTTCAGCTTTATAAGAAAGTTATTCATTAATTCTATATAATTAATGTAATTCTTCATATTTTAGTTTTTCAACATTTTCTGAGTGATTATCATCATGAATATGATTATTTTAATCTTGAGATTTATGAATATTATTATTATTGTGATCTTCAATTTAATTTATTTTTAGTTAATCAACTTAAATTTATTCTTCTTTTATATTTTAATGATGTCTACCTAACCAATTTGTAATTGATTCTAAATTCCATTATCCATCAAAATAAATTAATATTTTTTCTGTTTTATTTATAAATACTAATTAAGGAGTTTATTTAATATTTAAGACAGAACACAAATCATTAGCTTATTGACAATTCACACTACCCATAAAATTAGTATCAGCATATAATTGATACAATTAATTCCATAATGTAATCATTTAATCATCATTAATAATTAATAGTATTGACTAGATTTAAAGATTGTTCTTACATTTTAATTAATATATTTAAGACTCTCAAATTTGGATATGCTTATTTGTTCACCTAAGTATGATGCTTATGATATTGTTATTAAAATATAAAATAATATCATAATAAAAATAATTATTATTAATCAGAATAACATTAAATAATTTCTTTCTATTATTCTCTTATTAGTTAACAGATTTCTTGATAATCTTACATTATCCATTTTAAATCCTTCATCTTTCTATTGAATAATTGATCAGTCAATTCAGCAACTGTATTTTGATAATTTCTTCTTTTTTTAAAGAATTATTTCAAATTCTCTAAACATAATTTAGCTCTTCTATTTGAAAATGGATTGATTGGATATTTTGTTAAATAATAAAATTATTCACCAATTGCTTAAGTTATAATAAGCATATCATGTGATTCTTATAATCTTGCAAGTAAGACATAAGCATTAAATTGATTAGAAGCCATATAGAATCGTTTTGCTATTGCAGCAATTAACAATGATGTTGTGGCAAAACCAGAATATTATGTGAATGATAATACAATTTTACCATAAACAGTATATGGTTCATATTCTTCATAAGAATATCTTATTAATGCCAATATGGTCTCATAAAATGAGTGTTTCAATAATTACATTGTATTTGAATTCTCTTCTCTCATATATGGACGTTCTACTATCCATAATGCCAATGTAAGATAACAAACTTATATTGTAAAAATAGTAGAAATTACTAACACTGGTTATTGATCTACTAAAAATTTGAATGTGAAACTCCATTTAACTTTAAAACCAAAATATAATGACAATCTATACACTTAACTATTATACAAATGACTCATTCTCAAAAGAATAAATAATAAATTCACACTTCTTAAACATGTCCATAAAAATAGTAACTCATTTAAATAGAAGTAAAATACACCATCAACTCTATATAATGTGAATTCAAATTGTATATCTAAATTAAGATTCATTATACTTTTTGTGAATACATTAGGTATTGGTAAATATATCAAAAACTCTAATAAAAAAGGGTTAAAAATATCACTTTTGTGAAAATTAAGGTTCAGTGGAATCAATTAAGTAGCTTTAAAATAATTGAATTTGACATGATATGTTATATATGTAAAGAGTAATAAGATTAAATTCAAAGTGAATACTATCCATAAAAATGTATTATCTTCTTAATCAGATAAGAAATATTAATCATCAAACTATATAATAATTTTCATACATCTATTATTAGTATAATTGTTATAACTAATATTAATTGCAATCTCACATGTTCAATTAAACGATGAGTCTCAAATAATAACTTAGTAACTCTAGAATCCTCAAATCCATTATGATCATCTTTCTTAATACTAGCATACTCTCCTTTTTCTTATTCAAATTAAAGATTTCTCTCATATTACATATGATGAACCTTATCCTCTGATATTTAATTGGATAAATGTTGTGATATGATATTGCTATTATGAAATCGTTTTTAATTCATTATTATTTCATATATAAATATATAATGTAATCAAACATGAAATTCCATCACAAGTAAATCAGATCCATCTTCTTCAGAATCTTACAAAATTGCATCATCCTTACTCTATTTATCATATGTTTAATTTGTCTATAAATGATTAGAATTTTGTTTTTAACTACAACTAGGATGTGATTCAAATACATAGTGATAATTAATTGTATTAATTAATTGTAAACGTTTAAATTCCTTTAATAATAAATAATACTCTTGAAACATAAAATTAATATCTTTAAATTTTCTTTTAGCTTTTGACATTGAATCCTCACCATCTATATTTCTATATTATCTTTTCATCTATTTTAAAGCATTAATAGAATCTTAAATAAGATTTATACTATTATTTTCTAACTTTTTAATTTTCATCTATTTAATTCTAACAATCAAATCTTAACTTAAATATCTCATAGCATTAGTAACACTAGTCTTTTCTAATAATGCCCATACCATCTCTTCACAATTCATTCTTTCAAACATTGAATCAAGCATTGCTGTAAATAAGGAAGTGTAAGAAACACCCCAAAATACACAAATAGCCATTGATATACGACCTAAATCAGTTGTTGGATAAAATTCACCATATCCAACAGTTGCAATAGTAGTAAGAGTAACCCACATAGATGTCATTACACTATAAACACTATGTTGAGTTTCATTTCTATAGAGAGCTCTTTCTGCTATTTCTAATGTATAACCAAAGAGAAGCATTCCTGTCACAAATAAACCCATTAATGTATAACCAGGTAGATCTTTCATACATAATTTAAATACTAAATGAGTATCAAAATTAGTAGAATAGAGACGACTAAAAATAGAATAAATATATTAGAACCATAATCTGCCAATTTGACTACTGTAAAAGGATGAAAATTTAAGTGTGATATTAGTAAGCAAAATAACTCTGAAAGTTAGGATATAAGTTAATATTTCATTCAAGTAGTAAAATCTTAGTTAACCTGTGTATCGTTGATTGAAATCTATTCTAATCATTTAAGTGAATGGAGTTGGAGTTGGTAAGATCAATAATATTTCAATTGCTAAACTGTAAATCAAATTTGAATCCAAGAGACTAGCTTAAGGTGTGATTACCATAGCTTTCTTCTTATAGGTTAAGAGAACTTGGTAGGAAATTAAAGTGAGGAAAACTAGACGATAGCAAGGGGAAAGCATGTACTTGCAGCAGCAGTCATCAAAAATATGATGTACAATAATATTAAAGTCTCCTTTTCTAATTCTTTTACAAATTGATCTGAGAATGAACATTCATACTATATTTGTATATAACATACATACTTCCATTATTGCTATTATTTAAGTACCAAATATCACACAAAATCTTGTCATCTCTACAATTCGATATTGTTCAAATAATAATAATGTGATTCTACTGTCTTCAAATGTACTTTATGAATCTGACAAGATAGAGCCTTATCTTTTAACTCTCCATTTTTTACCCAAAGATGGAGTTTTCTTTTTTGTTATCTCTACATCTTGAGACATTTATTTTATATATTTATAATTATCTATGAAAAAAGTAACTTAATCTACTGCATCAACCTTTAAACCAAAACAAAGTCTTGCTAAACCTAAGAGTCAAAATTAATTTGAAGAAACAGATCCAGCTTAAAGAGGTAATAAAATATATAATATGAAGATAGGAAAATAATCAGAATGAGAAATGTTGTTGATTTAGGTGATGCTTAAGAGGATAATAAAAAAAATTCAAAAAAAAATGGTAATTCTTAAAATTCTAATAATTAGAAAACTAAAATGATCCTCTTCTTGAACAACTTGATTAATGGCATGAAAATATTATGTCTAAGAAAAAAACTTATGCATTTGAATAAGTCAAATAAAATGATAATAACAACAATAAAGTGATTGAAAATGAATTCAATTTAGATCATGGACCATAAATAAACTCTAATATTATCAATCAAATTATGAAACCTATTGAATTACCTAACTTTAAAACTGAAGATAATAATGATGATGTATAAGTCTAATTCCAAATGCTTAGACCTAACAAAGAATCTGGTAATGTATTAAAGACACTTGATTAAGTAAGAATAGAAATGAATAAACAAATCTTAAATAGTCTACTGCTCTAAAAAGTAACAAAAAAATTGGATGAAATGAATATCAATAGAAAACATAAAACTAATTGGAATATATAACGTATGGATGAAGAAATAACTTAAGTATTTAGAGATTAATCACATGCATTAAAATAAAGAACATTAAATAACTTCAAAGGTTTAACTGAGTATTTTAGTAATCCTGCATAATATATTGATTATGAAGTTGTCTTATCAAAAGCAAAATATCATTCTAATAGACCTCCAACATCATTTCCTACAACTTAAATTCCCTAATAGTAATAAAATTCTACATCTGCAAAGTCTTTAATGGAGAGTTATCATTTATTTTAAACTTAAATCAAAGAACATAAAACTATATTGTATTAAATGAGAGTTGAAAACAATAACTTCGTATAAGAATTGAATCGTTATGAGGAAGAAGTATAGGATATAAGAAGAAAGTTTTTTGTTAAGGAAGAGAAGGCAAGATAAGGATGGATACCTGAATAATAGAATGATGGAGTTCCTAATAAAAAAAGAAATCTAATGGATATTATTGAAAAAATAAGAAATTAAAGGGATGTTGAGATCAGATAAAGAACTAAAGAAATATAATCATTAAGAAAATAAATGTAATAGAATAGTGAAAAATAATAATAAATTTAAAAAGAACTTGATGAAATGAGATAAAAGAAAAGAAGATGTAAAATGTTACTTAAAGATATTTTTTTAAAATAATTCTAAGATTCTAATAATTCTCTTGTTCCAGAAGGTTTAGTGAGTATTATAAAGAATATGAAAAAAATTAATGAAAGTGCTAAACCAGAATATTTCCCAAAATTTTTAGATGAAATTTCTAAGAATTATTTATTATTAGCAGCTTAATTAGAAATTGAAATAGAAGAAACAAGAGTATTATCTTAAAAATATAATCAATAATAATTATTATAACGTACAACAAGTGCTAGATAACATATATCTACTTAAAGATAATAAATGAATGTTTCTGAGATTAAAAATTAAGTGAAAATTATGTTAAAGAAAAGTAAAGTTTCTATAAAAAAACCTGTATTTGTTTAAGGAATTGATCCAATAAATCCAAGTTCATTTGCTCATGTAATAAAATGGGAACATTAAGATTTAGAAAATTAATTAATAACTGAACCTATTGAAAATAATTTTAAAAATTAAAATATTTCATCAGAACGTAATAATATAATAAAAGATTACAATTAAAAATTAGTTTAATTATAATAATAATTAGAATAAGCAACTAATGAAGAATGTTAACGTATTTTAAAATCATATTCAAATAAAAAATTATTATCAGATATTCAAGAATTAAAAATGGTTATGTATGCATTATTTGGTTAAGCATTTGGAGATTAATAATGGATCTAATTTGTTGTGGAATGGACTGAATAAAAATAATTAAATCCTTTATATGTATTAAAATAAGAAGAACAATCAAAATAAAGTGATACACGTAAAGATTAACATTCAATACCAGAAAAGATGAAAAAGAAAGTATCTTAAACATTAAAAAAATTAACAGAAGTTACAAATGTTGATTATAATTTTGAATTATGTTTTTGATGTATTTATGTTTATGTTAATAATATAATTTTAATATTATTATTATAAATAATTATATTAATATCTTATTATTATTTAATTATCTCATTTTTCTTATTTTACCTAATAAAACCAATAAACTTTCTTAAAAACTACTACAATAATCATTGCAACATTTCCAACAAGATCTATCCATTTACTAGTTTGATTTTCTGTTGTATTTATTTATTATACTTATTTATTAATACTATCATCATTTATGTCTGTTAGAGAATTTGTAGAGTTTTTGTTTTATTATAAGTAATCTAATACACTATTGAATCTTGTAATTTCACCACTTTCTAAATTATTCATACAAAAATAGCTAGATAGATTATCTTAATAAGGTAGAAAATAATCATATATTTTCTTAAAATTTTAAAAGTCATAACTATCTGAAATATCAGATTTTTTTTTATAAATCATACAAGTGTATAATTAATTTAAACCTTCAATTGTTTAAGGTATATTTGAACTAGTATCAGATTCTTATTATTTATTAGGAACAGTTAAAAATTTCTGGTTGTTATCAATTAACTGCTTTATTTATATATACTTATCTTTTAGATCTTTAAAATAATATGTACTCTTTTACAATAAATAATTATTTACTATATCCCCATTAGATAATTTTGCTGCATATTTATTTTACAGATTGATTATTTCAGATTTCTAAAAACCTTGAATAATATTTTATCTTGCTTGAACAGAAAATACTTATTAAATCATTTCAAAGTTTTTTATTTTATGTACAATAAAAATATTTTAAAGCATTCCTCCTTAAAATTCAACTCTTTCATTCAATTATTCTTTAACCCTTTATATTTATTCATTATCTGTTCCATCTTCAGAATATTTATTAATTATTAGAACAATTTTAGGTATATTCTTTTAATCGAGCCCAAATTATTAATTAATGAATTATATGAAATCCTTTCCTCTATTTTACAATTCCTTTTATGGACTGTCTAATACATAAATTACTTTTGTTTAAAATGTTGTTGTTATTTTATGAAAGAGTAAATCAATAAATAGTTTATGATAATCATTAATAGTACTTTCAAATCCAGGGAGATCTACAAGAACATGATCCAATTCTTAAATATATTCATAAATAAATGTTTATGTAACTGAAGTAGAATTTGTTCCCATTTTTGAGATATACATTTCATCATTAGTAGGAATAGGTTACAAATAACCTACTCCATCCTTTTCTATTATTTTGAAATCTGCTCCTAATATCCAATTATAGAGACTACTTTTTCCAGCCCCTGTATTTCCACATAATAAAATAACCTTTTAATTTTTCTATTTATTCATAAACTTTTCGAATTTCGTAAAGTTACTTTGTACTCTCTATATCACTTCTGAAATTATTTATTCTCCAATATCATCAACTTAGTCAATTCCTTACATTATAAATTTAATATCGAATTCTATTAATTAATAATAATTTGTTTGTAATATATTATAGCCTCTTAATCCTTTTCTTTAGTATATACTATTTATCCCAATATTTTTCACTTAATTTAGACTCCTAATAACTACCTAATAATGAAACAAATAATGATTTATCATCAATAATATCCTATTTGTTTATTAAACATTTCATTGGCAACATTAAATAATATATGTTTCATTACTAAAATATATAAATGATCTAACAGTTTAAACACTTTTAAGTGCAAAGTTAAAAAAATAAATTATGAATGATTATTTATTATTTAAATTAATTCAATATTATACAATGTTTAATTATCATTAAAAATTGAGTATTTAAGAAAAAAAAAAATGTGATATTTTTAATCATAATTCTATTAAAAATTTAAATGGTAAAGGATGATAAATTTCATGCTTGTCTTAAATATATTAAGGAAAGTGAAGGAGGAGATTCAAATCATAAGAATGATAAAGGAGGAGCTACAAGATAAGGATTGAGTTAAAATGCATATAACCTCTATCAAAAAGAGTTAGGCAATAAAGGTTAAGTCAAATCAGTATTTGAGTTAAAAAATGAAGAAATAGAAGATTTCTATTATCATTAGTATAAAAAATATAAAGTTGATAAAATTGAGGATATCAATTCTCGTTACCTTTATTATGATGCCGTCATACTTTCAGGACCAGGTAGAGCAGCTAGAATGGCATAAAGTGCTTGTAATATAAAAGTTGATGGCTGTTTTGGCAAATAATCAATAGCTTCTGTGAATTCAATGGATTAGAAAGAATTTTAAAATAAATTCATTAATATAAAAAGGAATCATTTTCATAATATAGTTAAAAATAAACCTGATTAAAAAGTATTTTTAAAAGGATGGCTTAATCGACTAGATAGGACTCTTTCATAAATTGAAAATGGAACTATTTAAAAAGAATATGATTCAATGTAAAGTCGAAAATCCATATAAATAAATAAAAGTAATTAATAATAGACTTAAAATCTAAATGGAATAGATTGTAATGTAGATTTAAGTGTATTAAATCGTATAAAAGGAGTGAATAAAATGTCTGCTCAATTTTTAATTGAGAGTTAGGAAAATATAATTTTATCAGACTTGGCTACAGTACTAAGTGTATTATATGATCCTAAGTTAAAGGATGAACATAAAAGTATATAATTTAGTTTAGATCCAATAATTTTACCAAATCAATAGGAATTTAAATAATAATAAAAAGTTTGTTGGCCTGATTCTTATGTTGAAAGAAATATTATATAAGATACTGAAATGGCTAAAATATTATTTGATGCAGATTATCTATTAAAATTAATGAGTTTGGGTGTTGAAGCTGATGGAAAGACTCCTTTTAAATATCCATTAGAATTATAATAATTAGGATTTAATTCTTGTACATCAATGGGAAAATAAAAATAATAACAAATGTTATGTAGATTTTGGCTAGTTCCTTAACAATGCTTTTATACTTCAATTAATAATAAATACATGATAGATGATATTTAAGTAGCTTGTTAAGCTAGATAAATAGAAAGAGTAAATAATAAATTACAAGATAAAATATGTTAAGATGTTAATGATACAGCTTATTAATTTGCAGCTAAATTTACTTAATTATATGATAAAATAGCCAAATTCTATCCAATTTTTAATAGATTAAAATAATTATTCAAAGCAGTAGCATTAGGAAGATGGATGTATATAAATAATGTAAAAACAAATTATTAAGAATTAATAAGATTTTGTAAGAAAGTAAATAATTCTCCAAAAGCAATACCAATATTAAAATATGAAAAAGTAGGTGAAGAAAGTAAAACACCTATTTATTTCACTTAATCTGAAAAGATATAGGTGGCTAAAGATCATCTAATTGAAAAAGGTCATCCAACAACTTAAGACTTAATAAATTAAGTTGTTAAATAGATACCTGATATAAAGGGATATTAGGTATCTACTTAAGTACAATATAGCTAAGGGGGAGTGGATACTCATTGTAAAAATATGATTGAATCAAAATAAGATCCTAAAATAAATAGATTTAATAATTTGGAAGAAGTTGACATTCCCTTTTTTCCTTAAAAAAAGTGTAGTAAATGTAATAGAATGATTGAAAGTCATTTATTAAATTTAGATTAAAATTAATGTTCTGTTCATAGTGAATACACTTGCTATTTATGTTTGGAATTAATAACAAATGAAGATCTTAATCCAAAAGGTTGTATTATCAATAATTATAGATATATTTTTCATTAATCATGTTACAATGAATATTAAGATATAATCAATTGTAAATAAGATAATGATGATGATATATATTGATATATATATATATATAAATTATTCAATATTACATATATTCCTTAATTCATATATATATATATAATTATCGATTACTTATAAATATATTTGTAATGATATTATATTTGATTTATATCCAAAGATTTGTTCATATTTAAAAATGACATAATATATATATTATCATCATTCTGGTTTAACTTTGGTTGCTTTTTTAGCTGAACAATTGGATGATGACCACAACAATAATCCTCCAATTAATGCCATAATTTTCAAAAATTCAATTTAAGTTGTTTAATCATTATTAATTAATGGATTGGCTGTTATAGCAACTTACAAAAGTAATCCAAGAACAGGTAAAAATACTAGACTTAATGAATAATAAAATTAAATTTACCATCCACATAAAAACATTAATGCTGAACTTGCAATAAGTCCTGCAACAACTTATTTGGCTAATACTGCTGGCAATAATTTGAAAGTATCAGAAGGTATATACTTGAATTTAGTATGGTAAATTACTTATTTGACTAATTGATGTTTCTAGAATTCAACATACTTAGTTTCAAATTGTTTTCCAATTGATACATCAGTGAATATAAGGTAACTGTATCCAGCTAGAGCTGTAAGCAATAGGACTTTTCCAAAAAATGACATAAATAAATATTTTTATTTTATTTTAGACACATGTATGAATTTTGATTCTAGATATATGTATATTGAATAATAAATAAGAATATATAATATATTCATTTATTATTTTTTTTCTCTCTAAATTACACTCTTAATGAATATATTTTTTTATCTTTATCCCAAACAGGTTGAAATTTGCCATCCTAAATTATATACCATTATAATATATACCTAAGTTTCTATCTCTTGATTTGGTATTTTAAAACTAATATTTTCGTATGGTTCACCTGCAAATATCAAATACTAATAATTCTTATCTGGTTATTCAATCTTTTATTCGAAGGCTGACATAACTCTATGTTTAGGAATGAATCCAGGTTAAATGTCTTCATAATAAAGCTCAAAATATAACACTTTAGAAGTATTCTCAACAGTCCTTGTAACCTTATATCCTGGACGTCCTATCTTAACAGTTTTATGTTTCTATGGTTTTGGTTGATTTTATTTTGCCATATGCATCATTGCATTCAAATCCTTTCCTTCTCTGGCTTTTCTACGCAATAGATTTTATTGATGTTTCTTTCCTTAAGTATGTGCCAA